GGGTATAGACGATATGTGAAATTTCGATGCTTGGTGTGTCTGTAATCTGAGAGGGGTGTTTTCTACTGATTTCTATAGATGGAATTGTGGAGTATTCATTACTCTACGATCTTCCACTTGAAGTCACAAGGAGATGCTTTGAGGTTGAAATCGTTGTCTCACTTCCATGGACGTGGTGCGACTGACCAGTTCCTTGCAGAACGAAATATATATGCCTCGCACTTCCATCAGGTGTGGCACCGATTTCAATATTTCTCTAACATTCATCCCTTGAAGGATAGTGGAGACATCACATCGTACACGTTCACATATCTAGCTCTTCTATAACATTCTCTTGATTTATTTGAATTGTTCAAATGAATGTTCTATTGTTCATCTTCTTAAATATTTCATTAAGTGCCATAAGCATAAAAATTTAATTTCCTTATAATTATCATTATATATATATATATATATAATATGCGATATATATATATATATATATATATATATATATATATATATATATATATATATATATATATATATATCGCAAAATTGCATCGCGAAGTGTAGACCTCGGTAGCTTAGTTGGTAAAGCAACAGGACGCAAACCTGAGAAACTTGGGTTTCAGTCGGGGTTGAAAACTTTTGTGGGTTGATTTCGATTCCAAATTTACATATAAATATTTCTTCATATACAATATGATCCGTAAGTGCCTGTTTAGCGCGAATAATATTTAGCGCGAATAATATTTATATTATATATATATATATATATATATATATATATATATATATATATATATATACATCATTTCAAGATTCACAAATCATTCATACTAGTGAGTACTGAGACTGTAATCGAAAAATCGAATCATTTAAGAAAAAAAGAACTCTCATGGAGCTGACTATATAAATGTTGTCAACGAAAACGAACCTACCACTTTCGAGAGTAAATATTAGGGGCGTTGCGAAAAATCATCGAACTTTTTGAATGATAATGGGTTAAAATTGTTTCATCATTGTTATGAATCATCAGCCCTTATTCAAAGAATCAATCAAGAATCGATGACTTTCAAAACGCCCCAGGTCCTCTATCCGAATGAGGACAACAATTAGTTCGTGAACTATTCACGTGAGCTCCCTCCATCGAAGAAAAGACGTATAAACTCTCCCCAGCATTAGAGATTCCTACTTATGGCAACACTAGTGAGAGTACGTAGAAGCTCTGTAGAAATTTCATCAAAACACAACTGAATTTTGTTTGTAGTGTTTATATAGAGCGGTGAGTTTCATTCATTCATATTGGCGACATACATTGACAGAATTCCGATATCTCCATGCTGATTGAATTCGAAACACTATGATCTTCTCATGTATATGAAAGTCATTCTAGCTCAGTAATTTCTCCTTTATTTTCCTAAATGAACTCAAGAAGTTTACTAAGGAATTCATCGTAATGAAATATTGCTACTCTCAAAAAGTGTTGAGTTTGGAAATTCGGTTTTTTACGTGAAGATTAAATAGTCTCTCGCCACTGGCTTCATTGTCGGAACGGGAAGAGAACTCTCCGATCGAGCGTTTTCCTTGTACGGCAGTTCATTTCAGACGAAATTGAAAGACTCGGCCAAGAACCAAGAACAAAAGCAGACAAAACATATCTCTGATATCAGACCTATTTACAAATCGTCCTCGAAAGCGGAACATAATAGTAGAAATAAGTTGTTGAAGGAAGTTTGATAGAACATTTATATACTTTTGCCCAGTATTTGGAGATGCTATTTTGAGCTTTGTCTCGTCAAAATCATGGTATCCTCCTTTCAATTCACATATGATATGAAGTTGCATATAGAAAGAGCTAGAAGAGCTACTTTTCATATTTTTTGATTGAATCGTCGAAAAGACGTTCACAACATATAACACAAAAATCTAGAACTGAATATATTGGAAGAGTATACTCCGGTGAAACATATTATCAGGTTCTAAGAACTCTATTTTCAATGTTTCTGCATGTACACCCCTTGAGGTGGTAGTCACAGCCTAACTCTACTCACAAGCCATGAACTAGGAAATCTGGCAACATCCAAGCAAGACCCACAAATAATGATGCTGTAATGGCGTTGTAATGGTTTTTTGTCATCGTAGCTGAATAAATCGCTATTTAATGAGAGAAGTAACATTTAAATCCAAAAATGAGTTGTGAAAAGTGCTATTGTTTGAAGTTGTGAATGACAAGCAAAAGAAATTTCCCGCAAATGTCTTATATAAACAGGAATATCTGTTTCAAGTGTTTTAAGTTGAGCTTTTTTTGGTAATACCTGGAGAGGTAGAAATAATACCTAACTTTCACCATCTCATAATTGTGTAAAAACAAAAAATCCGCGTTTTAGTTGTTGTGTATTACGTGATGTATAGTGTGTAGAAAGTGCTACTGTGTTTTTTCAGCAACAGACTAAGGAATACCTTTGAATTTTTTATGTATATAGCTACTGATTACTGATGTTTTGACTGAGTAGTTCAGATATCAACAAAAGTATTATTTGCTAGAGTTGTTCCTTTTTTGTGATTAGTGGAGTTACTCACCCTTTGTTAGATTCGGTAGTTATTTAGAACTAATCTCTTGTAGGTCTTGTTCTTGATATTAGCACAAAAATTAACATGCCAGGTTATTGCTGTGTACCTGGATGCAAGTCGAACTACAAAACTTACCTCGAGGCCGGTGAACCACCAGTTCCTGGTTTTCATTTCCCATAGGACAATGGCTACAAAATATTCTTAGGGCATCATGGACTCCCACAAAATATTCTGTGGTTTGTACCAAAAATTTTCCAGAGGGAGCACTTACTAGAGGAGGTATTCATCGTTTGCTAAATTGATCAATGGAAGGCAAGAAGGCTAGATTGAATGAAGTTAAACTCAATTTAAATGCAGTGCCAAGTACTTCTCATTATTTACTCCTACTTATCAAAAACAGTCCACTCTCAAAGAGAACATCGAGCTGAAGTAACCAGTATTGTAGGATCGTTGTGAGAAATTGAATGAAGCCTTTGAAAACTCACATTCAATTTGTAATTTTGTTGATTCAACATCCAATTAGAAATGGAGATTTTAATATGTAAATCGTGGAATATAAAAATTTTTGAAAATAACAGAATTTTTTTACACTGTAGATTTTCCATCCAACGTAACTGAATGTTCACAAATAAACAGTATACAAATTTTCAATCAGATTTTAAAAGATTCAGATATGCATGTAAATGTTTTATCAATAAAAATAAACTGTCCCCTAATGATTTAAAATGGATTTTACATCTGTCATTAACTAGATAGTCTCAACTGGAAAATTTGCTTGCTCGTTACAAATACGATATCAGAATCATGTTACCGTCCAAATAACTGTAAACATCTCAAAAAAGGTTTAAAGGAGTTGGATCATTAAACTTACTCTCACCTGAGAATGCAAAATAATGAAGTTGATAGCATATTCTCAATTCTAATTGATAAAGTGAACTTGTTAAATTACATACTAAAAAAACAACATTTGAATCGCTATAAATCAGACATAGTTCTCTTAGAAAAAAAGTGTATTACTAATTTCTATAGATAATTGTATGATCTACAATTTTTGTTAAAACTATTCTTTATACAAAGTACCGTTTCGCTGAAACGCTTTCTGAAAAGGCAATTATAACATGCAGTAGACCGATGTTCGAAGATCGATCGGTCTACCGAACTGAGTAGATGCGGCGTTGCCAAGTCTATGTTCATGGCTTGTAAGTAGAGTTAGGCTGTGTGGTTGTCTTTATAATTGAAACAAGACAAAATAACGGTATTAATGAAATGGAACCCAGATATTCTATTGGTATTCTATATATTGGTATTGGTTCTTCTACGGTTTCAATTTTTCAGCTCATGAACTCGTTAAGTCAGGGTTTTCAGCACACCAGCTATAATCAACGCTCGTTTAAGTGAATCCTAGGAAATCGCTGTAATAAATGAAAGAAATCGACCTCTGAGCGCATTCGATTCAGTCATTTACAGTAAGAGAACTTATACTACAAGAGTCAATTTGTCGATTCAGCATAGCTCAAAATTCTCTTCATTTCTATTGCAAGAATGTTTTGTTGAATATTTTACTGCTGGAATTTCATTTCAATTTAATTTTTTGTCATAGGTGAATGATTAATTCTGAGAAAGTATAAGATCGATCATAAAATCGAAAAATAAATGTAAACTTAGTATAGTGTTCTATTTCTATTCATCTTATTGCCATTACCTCAGACAAAAGGTAGCTGGCTGATTTTCGAAATTTCAATTCGTAATCGTGAAAGGAAATTTTGGAATTTGGAATTTTTTGGAAACGAAATCAATTTTTGAAACAAAACGCAAAAAGAACTAACTTCCTCTTTAAATTTTAATTTCATTGAGTTAGGCCTATAATTTATATCTTTGTGTGAGAGAAAATTGATGGAAATTAGACGATTAAGCCCAAATTGCTAAAGTAAAGCCTAGTGAACTCTCGAATTTCGCTAATGAAGTTCGGTGTCATTCATGAATGACTGAATTTAATTTGAGAAATAGATTACGCTACTGAAAGACAGTTAAGCATACAACTATTAACATCAAGGTTTTGAATAAACTGAAATATGTTGTAGTTCAGCTAATAACATATAATCGTCGCTACGAAAACTTCTGGTCGAATCAACCATAGACACGAAAAGAATTCAAGAATTTTCGTGAATAGCGTATATTTTATTACTCCTCCTGTTATATATATCGCTAATTCGGAAGAGTCTGTATTTTGGAAATTAGTCCGAAATATGGATCTCGTTTTTTTGCTGAACCGTTTACCCAGAAGAGTACGTTTTCCAAATGCTTTGCCCTTACGCTCATTTCCTCATTTTCTCTTCTGTAATGGGATGAAGGGCTTTAAATCCAAGATTTCAATCAAATAACTTGATTAAATCCTAATATTTTCATAGTGGAAATTGAGAATTGAAATTACATTTCAAAAGTTTTGAACTCGACTGGGATTCGAACCCAGGTCTTCAGGTTAACGCTTCACTGCTTTGTACCGCTAAGCTACCGAGGTCTGCACTTCGAGACCTCGGAATGAGACAACTTCAATTCATATCTAACAACTCTTTTGTTCGTCAAGTGAGTTATTCGACGCTCGGATTGTCGTCTTTGATACCTGCAGGCGAAAGTGAGTGACTCTTACCCATCCTCCCAGAGGATGATGACTGGCAGCATCAGCAAAAATGACCTAATCATTCATCATGATTAGGTCAAGTTCTACAATTTTTCTCTATTTCTTGCTAAAATTAACAATATGTGATTCAGTTTCGTATGAGTAAGCAATTTTTTCATGAAATTCAACGTAGGGCTTAACATCTTATTTATAAGTAATATGGATGAGTCTCTTCACGTATTAGAAATTATAACATTTTCCATATGCTCCAGCCTCAAGTTGAGATCAGAATTCCTTTTTTCATAAAAGCTTGTTGATTTCAATCGCCTTGCTATGAGCTTAGGTTATTAAAAATTCAATAGCTGATAGTAATTACTGATCATCAGTCCAGAACATGTATAACTGTGTTGTTATTTTGTCTTGCCTGTATGAAACTATTCGAATAATAATGTGGAATGAATTCATAAAAGTGATCATTCATTCATATCTAAATTAATGAGAATTTCAAATTGAAAATACTCATTGCATGAACAATACAATAATACAATCCAAACATATTCTTATTAGCTGAATACAATATTAATAATAATAATAATAGTAATAATAATAATTATTATTATTCTTATCATAATAATTACAATAATAATAATAATCATGATGATAATAATAATAATAATAATAATAGAATCTAATCCCTAAACCAGTTCTAGAACAAATAGAGGCTGATGTCCGACATGAACTGCAACTTACAGTTGAAAGCTGTGATGACATGGGCTACGCTGATATCCAACCAATACAAACTCAGATATGTGAAAACACAGAGCCTCACAGAAACCGAGCTCAGTAATGACGGAGATGAAGTAAATCGAGATCGTGACATAATTTCGGGCATAGTCGAGAAATTTGAAACTGCCCTAATTCAATACGGGGATATGGAAACGATCAGGACGCCTATCATACCGAAACAAAAACCATCGATCAGACTGGCTAAGATTAGACATGTGCTTGATAGTGAGATATGGCTAGCACATTTCACACAAGTTTATAGTATTGAAGACTTAGCGCCATAGTGCTAGGAAGACCTTCATAGCACTATATACTGCGCTGATGTTGCTACAACACGGTCAAATGGAGGGAAAATATTCCATCAAAATTCACATAAAAGGCAAAAGACCTCTGAAGCACCACAATGGCAAAGAAGAATAGAGAGAAAGATGAAACGCGTAAGACAGGATCTCTCAAGGCAACCAAAGCAAATACCTTAAAAATAAAGTGAACGGTATTTTTGTGATATACAGAATACATACTACACGTGACGTGGCGAATAACAGTGTGGTTGAATTTATAGATACATTGAAACAAAAGCTAGCAGTACAGTCAAGTCGACTCAAACGATACGCTAAAAGTATACAGAGAAGACACCAGAATAGACGGTTTAAAAATATTGAGAGGAGTTTCTATAAAGAAATAAACAAAATACATCGCAAACCTAGTAGTAGTGAGACACAGCATACTTTCACAGCAAGTCGTAGAGAGCTTCTGGTTTGCAATATGGTCTGAAGAAGTTTCCCACAATGACAAATTGCCTTGGCTAGCGAAATAGATAAGAAGTAATCAACACTTCGGACAAATGACAAAAGACGTAGTGGATGCTCTATTACTGAGGGATACAAGAAATAATACGCACAATTGGAAAGTTACCGGTAGTGATCATATCCATAACTATCGAAAACTATCGATAACTATATAAAAAAACTTTATATGCGTCCGTCCACTACTCCTTATACATATAATCATATGCTTCAGAAATCCACAGCTTCTACTACAGCTCCCTCACACAGGGGATCAGTTATCCTCTGCCCAAGGGAGCATTTACACAAGACCCGTAAAAATATAGACCCATAACTAATCTGCAAACCCTCTACAAGATCACAACAGGCTGCATCACAAAAATTATGAATAACCATCTAGATGCTTATTACAACCGAACATAAGAAAAAAAGCTATAAAAAGGGATCGAAGAGATGCAAGGAGCAGCTCGTAATCGATGGAGTAATACTGAAGCAAGCGCAGTATAAAGTAAGGAACTTGCACATGTGCTACATAGGTTACAAGAAAGCTTTTGACTCCGTACCACACTCTTGGCTATTGAAGTTGCTGGAAATATATAGAATCAGTCCAACCATACCCCGGTTCATCCAATGTGCCATGCATGGATTGCAAACCGTTTTCAATTACGTTCAACGGGCACGTAAACACCGAATCAATAGAAATCAAACGTGGAATATTTCAGGGCGACTCACTCAGCGTACAATGGTTCGGTCTGTCACTCAACTCGATGTCCAGGGCACTCACCACAACTAAAAACGGATACAATATAAAAAGCCCTACACAAACTCTATGCTGGAATGCCAATACAGTTGAATCATTCGATCAAAACAGTGGAACTGTTTACGACAGATGCTGAGATGGAGTTTGACTTGGACAAATATCGAACACTCAATATACGAAAGAAAAGGACAGAGCTAATAGGATATAACACCATCAAGGAGAAAAAGTCGAACCAACAGATGGAGATGATTCCAATAAATACCTAGGACACTACAATCAAAACGAATAGAGCACAGCATCCAACAGAAAAGTGGGTTAAAAGTTGTCTATGAAGCAGATACAGAGTGCACACCGCTGAATCTATACAGTCTACTTCCACAGCAAACGGAAGGGGAAAAAATTGCGGCAAAGTAGGGTCCTGCATGTAAGGCATGGTCAGGATTTTGAAAGGACGAATGTCGATAAAACGGAGTCGAACGCTTGGCTCAAGATTAGTGATCTGTTTCCAGAAACGGCAGGATTCATGCGAGCTATCCAGGATCAAGTCATTAATAACAACTTGGTCTTTTGGACAAAATCAACAAGAAAGATCATCTGATAGATATAGCGGTACCTAACACTGACAACTTGATAAACACCATTCAAGAAAAAATCAGGAAATATACGGACTTTAAGTGTGAGATACTTAGTATGTGGGATATAGATGCGGCGTACAGAGGTCCACTTGCAATATCAACAACCAATAAAGTTTTATATTTTGATAGGAAATTCCTGCAAGGATAAAGAAGCCGGCATATTGGAGTTGCTTAGGTTTAGACCAACAATTCAACTATGAAACCAGTGCCGGAGCTGAGAATAACTGGAGAATAACAATGATAATAATAATACTCATGTATATTTGTCCCAAATGACATAACAATTATGAATAGGACACGTCAAGAATATAACACAATTAAAAAATTTGAGTATAAAAATATTCTTGCAAGGAATAAAAATAATTGAGCAATGAGAATCTGGGAACTTCTTCATTAAATTGCGACCGATTCAAGGACTTGATGTAGTAAGGAAGATATTTCTATAACTTGATGCCCACATGTGTTGGGGAGGATTCAAATTCAGATATTCTATGAGATGGAGATGGTGGAATTATGCCATGTGCTGTGGAAACAAGAATTTATATCAAGTTCTGACAGCTTACTTCGAACAAACAGCAGACACTGTAAAATGTATGAAAATAGATGGCAGCATTAGGATCTTGTGCTTGATGAAAATCGGCCTGCATGATACTTGTGGCTTCAGGTTGAAGATTAATCCAATGCAACTTTTTTGTGCTGAAAAAATTCTAACCCTCGCTGCTGAATCACCTTATAAGACTAAATTATACTTTCAAACAATGAGAGTTGGGAACAAAATAATTGTGAATTGATTGAGTGAGTTGTTGATAAGTATCCAGTAGCATATTCGGAACCAAATAACTCTTATGGATTTCTCTTCATATTCTACAACATAGCAGTGTTTCAACATACCTCCAGTTCATGAAAAAGTTAACGCCTTTTGAAAAAAATGAAAGTTCAGAGAAAGTAATCGATATAATTCTTCGAATTCAGTAGACCTACACATTAGTGTAGGTCTAATGAATTCACGAATACTAAAGCACCATAGTTTTCAGCTTTTCCAACTATGTCAAGTATGAACTTTCAATTCATTTCGTAATAATTTCATTCTTGACTCATACATTCCTTTATTCAACTACATAACGTGAGTATGTTTTAGGATACTATACTATCAATTTCGAATGGCCCATATATGTGAGTAAAAATAATTTCGATTGTTGCACCTGTGTCTTCTCCATGTCTTCTTACATTTCTACTTTGTAAACAAAATACTCAGCTCACGAAGTTGTTGAAAGTGAGCATTCACAAATATATCCACGAATCTCCGCATTGCATCTTCTCTAATTAATGTGAATAGTTCTCTTGATTATTGTCATGCGTTTTGTTTTATGAGTTCAAATACATTCTTTATCTATGATATTATCATTGCTTATATAATCCTGACATATAGAAATTTCATTTTCGTATATTCAGTGCTTTGCTAGACTCTGCATATCAACACTCATTTATACATATTCCCTCAAATTCTTCAACTATGTATATATATATATATATATATATATATATATATATATATTTTTTTTTCAGTGTTTAATTTGGATTGCAGTCTAGGACAGGAAAATCAGTTACCTCTTTAGTATTTTCCAAGCTTTCGAAAATGTTGATTTTCTTCTTCAGGGCTAAAAAAAAAGGAAGAAAATAAACATTTTCGAAAGCTTGGAAAATACTAAAGAGGTAACTGATTTTCCTGTCCTAGACTGCAATCCCAATTAAACACTGAAAATACATATCTACAGTCGTTAAACATTCAACTATATATATATATATATATATATAAATATAATATTTCAATTGAATAAATGATAATGATGTATTCATTTCGTGGCGAAGAGCAGATAAAACAACAAAATATGATGAAAATTCTGAAGAGCTGAAGCCGTTCTTATTCATAACCTTA